GTTAAGTCCATCCATTTCAGCATCGATTTTAAGATCTTATTGTTTACTTAGGGCTGCAAACTGTGTGTGTGAGTGTGTGTGAGTGTGAGTGTGTGTGAGTGTGAGTGTGAGTGAGTGTGAGTGTGAGAGAGTGTGTGTGTGTGTGTGTGTGTGTGTGTGTGTGTGTGTGTGTGTGAGTATGAGTATGAGTGTGAGAGTGAGTGTGAGTGTGAGTGTGAGTGAGTGTGAGTGTGAGTGTGTGTGTGTGTGTGAGAGTGTGTGAGTGTGTGTGTGAGAGAGTGTGTGTGTCCTACCTTTGACAGTGAGAGTGTTCAGGTGGAGGCAGCGGCAGGTGTGTGAGTGTGTGGTGATGAGCAGGAAGTCGTTGCAGACGGCGAAAGAGGAAATATTGGAGGCCAGCTGAGAAAATGAGTAAAACATGAATTAAAAATATTTCCCATCAGCCCCTTTTCTTATAATAAACATATTGATGAAAGGTGTTACCTCAGTGTCTCCGACGTACAGGTGGGATCTGTCCGTCAGCCCGAGCAGATGTTCCTGAGAGGCAGAGGGAAGTATTTCACACAGGATCTCACTTGAGTCAAGTTATATGAAAGACATGATGCGTACCTCCCCACTGATGCTGCAGAGCGCCGTCTGGACGCAGGGAACCGGGAAGCTGATGAGACATCCGCTGGAATCCCTCCATTCCTCCACTGAGGGATCAGGAACATCTGCACATAAAGGATTACATTCAATTCAAGATTCAAGTCTCTCTCAGCATGTGCTCAGCAGCTTCAGTGTAGATATGTCAATGAAAAACGGAAGTCCTCCTCCAACAGAGCAACATGAATATATAGAGGACATAAAACAGATCAAATGGTGCAAGAGAATGTTTTGAGATGTGCAAGTAAATACAAATAAAACAGAAATAGTGCAAGAACAGTCTGTATACAGGTAAATGGAATATGATATATAGATAATTAGCAAGATGCATGTTATGGATGTTCTTTCAACAGTTCAGGTGTTTAATAGTCTCAGAATAAAAAACAAGGCATTGTACGAGAGAAATTAAAAGAGTAGAAATAAACAATTTAAACATCTCAAATAGAAATAAAATAGCATTAAAAAAGTAGATGTTGAAATACCAATTTACGGTTAACAAAATATAAAGCAGGATATTGTATACATTAAATAAGTGAAGGAATATTACATTAAATATAAATGTTAAATGTACAGTGGGAGTTTCATTTTGAACATCACTTATTTTTCCCACAATTTGACTTTTTCCCCAAAATGTGACTTTAATCCTGAAGTTTGACTTTCTCCCCAAAATGTACCCTTTCCCCGAAAATTGACTTTTCTCCCAAAATTTGACTGTTTCCCCACATTTTTACTTTTCCCCACAAATTTGACTTTTTCTCGCAGTTTGACTTTTTTTTTTATTTGACTAATTTTTCAAAACTTTTTTTCTCCAAAATTTGACTTTAATCTCGCAATTTGACTATTTCCCGAAAAATGTTCTCCTAATTTGACTTTGACTTGATTAAAGAAGAAGAGTTGTGACTCACTGTAGAGGAGCTTCCGGATCTGTCCGTCCTCCAGCAGCAGAGCCACAGTGCCGCTCTGAGAGCCGTGAGCCAGACTGAGGACAACTCCATCCACCTCCACCTGAGACCTGAAGAACAAACACACACCTGAGACCTGAAGAGCACACACACACACCTGAGACCTGAAGAACACACACACCTGAGACCTGAAGAACACACACACCTGAGACCTGAAGAACACACACACACCTGAGACCAGAAGAACACACACACACACCTGAGACCTGAAGAACACACACACCTGAGACCAGAAGAACACACACACACACCTGAGACCTGAAGAGCACAACCACCTGAGACCTGAAGAACACACACACACCTGAGACCTGAAGAGCAAACACACACACCTGAGACCTGAAGAACAAACACACCTGAGACCTGAAGAACACACACACACCTGAGACCTGAAGAACAAACACACCTGAGACCTGAAGAGCACAACCACCTGAGACCTGAAGAACACACACACACCTGAGACCTGAAGAGCAACACACACACCTGAGACCTGAACGAGCACAACCACCTGAGACCTGAAGAGCAAACACACACACCTGAGACCTGAAGAACACACACACACCTGAGACCTGAAGAACACACACACACCTGAGACCTGAAGAGCAAACACACACACCTGAGACATGAAGAACACACACACACCTGAGACCTGAAGAGCAAACACACACACCTGAGACCTGAAGAACACACACACACACACACACACACACACACACACACACACACACACACTCAACCACAA